AAGATACCTATAGATTAAAACAATCGTAAGAGACCTATCAACCATTTACAATATATGAACTTTATTTGTATCCCAATTCAAACAAATTTTTTTCATGTAGAAGATAATCAGGGAAATATAAACACTGACCAAATAGTAGATTATACTAAGGATTATTGAATTAGCGTCGAAAAGTGTTAGGTTTCGTGGTCAAAAGATTAACGGTTTCATGGTTAATGTTTTTGGAAGAATCTCTGTCTTATGGAAATACAAAATGAAATACATACACTCGCGATGTCTGGGATTTGCTTCAGAAGAATCCAGGAAGAGGAGGGGATCGAGATAAAGCAAATTGGCCAGGAGTTTGGTAAGTAATAAAGCGGGGCACCTGCTATTTATGTGTTTTTATTACAGTATTCTTGGTACTCTTCTATGTAGTGAAATATTCTACAATAAAAAGGAAAAGGAAACCCAGTTGAGTCTGTGGGTTTGGTGAAGTGGTGGTCCCCTGAGGAAAGATTCTTCCCCGGGGTAAGACTATTGCCATGGAAAGGTTTGGGGAGTTACTCACCTCTTCTGTTTTGTTATCTGTGAAGTGGGGATTGGATAATAACACGTGCCTCATGGGGCTGCTATGAATATTGAATAACTAAGATATAAGTAAAGCGTATACGACATGGCCTGAGTAACAAGGTAAGTACCGTAGGACGTTTGCTATTATTACAGCATATTAACCAGCCTGCAGTGCTTCACCACATCAACCAGAACTAAGTCTCCACAGAACTCCACACCTCACCAAGTGCCTTCACAGACACCACCTTTTTTGAGCTTCACAACTGCCCCTGGAGAGAAACACTGGTCTCATTCCCATTGGGCAGATGGGAAAACTAAGGCTCGGTTCATGGTGATGAAAGCCAGGTAATGGCCAAACCTGCACCAGGGTCAGGTGTGCTGACTCCATCCCACGGCCTCTCCAATGTAACAAGGCTGCCCCTTGGGGATGAGTCAGAGGATAAGATTAGATACTCAGTTTTACGTAATCAAAAGCTCGATGTTGTTTCCGCATGTTGCAAGACATTGGTCTCTGCATGTCTCTGCATGTTGTTGTCCCCTTTCCCTGGCTGGGGAAGGCTGATCACACTCATTTGGAGCGGACGGATGACTCATAGCCCCAGCCTGGGCTGGAGGAGGCCACGGACCTTAGGCAGCCCCTCCAGGTAGAGTTTGGCCAGCCAGGCCTCCGTCCTGTGGTCAAGGAGCTTGTCACCGGCTGGGTCTAAGCATGGGTCTGCCAACAGGGCTAAGGAAATATAGCAGACAGGAGCCACCCCGAGGCCGTAACTCAGGAAGGAGACTTCCTCTGATCTCGAGGGGGTAAGGGGCAGGCAAGTGGGTCCCAAAACACTAGTCCAAGGTTTCAAAACTAGCTTCTCTCAAAGGGAGAAATCCTCGGGCAGCCGTATGGTTGATCCTGTTAGTGATTTCTTCCAAGAACAGGCCTGGAGGCTCTGGGCTCTTTGAATATACATTAATAATAATAATGAAGCCTGCCATTTATTGAATGCTGGCATCGTGCCAAGCACCACAGACATATTTCTCATTCAGACATTCTTCATTTACAATACACTGTGGAGCAGGTATTTGTTTTTATTCAAACAAGGCAGAAGTTTAATTTTTTTTTAATCTTTATTTTTGAGAGCGAGAGAGCGCGCACGCGCGCGCATGGGGGAGGGGCAGAGAGAGGGAGGGAGACACAGAATCCGAAGCAGGCTCCAGGCTCTGAGCTGTCAGCACAGAGCCCGACACGGGGCTCGAACCCACGGACCGTGAGATCGTGACCTGAGTCGAAGTGGGACACCTAATCGACAAAGCCACCCAGGTGCCCCTATATTTAATCCACCATATACGTGCACACCTACTCATGCATTTGGCATATATATATATATATATATATATAAAACCCCACAGCTCATTGTTTTTATGAAAATAGGATCATACCTTATTCAGCAACTTTTTTTATATATTCATCTATCTTGTTTCCAACCCTGTGCATATAAACATGTGAGAGACCAGAAGGAAACCTGGAATAAGCAAGAAAGGTTACTGGATGTCTCTAAGAGAAAAGTACATATTGTTCAGAGCACACCCTTTGAACCTCTGAGTTCATTCTGCAGCTCTGTAAGTGGTAGGGGACAGAGGGCACACAGCGGTTCTTGACTGTGGACACACAAATGAGCCAGGCAACCTTCCTCTGTGCAAGCAAGGCCAGTTCATTGTGTCCATTGGAAAATGCATTTCAAGTTTTCTCACCTACACGTGTCTGTTTTTTGGGTTCTCCTTTGACCCAATTGTAACATCTCTCTAGTTCACTCAATGGTAAGCGAAAATCTTTCACGGGTGTTCGTTGTCTGTTTGAGAGCTGTAATTTTACATCCCTTGGAAATCCTCTTTCCACAGCAGGCATTACTTTTATTGTAGAGATGGGGAAATTGACGTTTAGTAAAATAAGCCAATGCTCAAGGTAACACTGTTGGTAAATAGCAGAATTTGGATTCAAAGCAACCGTGCAGTCCTGCCTGGATGGATAACTTTAAAGGAGCAAGTACTAGCTACACGCCAGGTACCAGTCTAGGTATTTTAGATGTGCTAACTCATTGAACCCTCCCTGTAACCTATGAAGCGACTGTGGCCTTGTTATCGCCACCCCACACCCCATAGAAAGAAAAGCAAGCTGTGCACAGAGAGGTCAAGCGGCCAAAGTGGGATACAGAGCCGGGCACCAGAGCTAACGCTCTTAGCCGCTACGTGTCCCTCCCAGCTCCTCTCTCTATCTGTGTTCTGGTAAACTGAAGCCACCCCAGTCAGTCATTTGGATGATTATCGGTAAAATAACACTGCCATGGAATTTCGGTCTTGAAAGAAGCTAGAGGCAGGTGTATTCATTTCCCATGGCTGCCGTATTGAAGTGCCCAAAACTGGGTGGCTTAAAACAACAGGAATATATTCCTTCACGATTCTGGAGCCTGGAAGTCTGAAACCAAGGTGTTGGCCGAGGCACACTCCCTCCGATGGCTCTAGGAGAGAATCTTTCCTTGCTTCTGCTAGCTTCTCGCGTGTGCCCAGAATCCTCGGCGTTCTTTGGCTTATAGATGCATCCTTCCAATCCTCTGTCTTCACATGGCGTTCTCCTTGGGTGCCGCTGTGTCTCCACAGCATCTTCCCTCTGTGCCCATCTGTCTGTGTGTCCCCATTTCCCTTCTTATAAGGATACCAGTTGGGTTGAATGAGGGCCTGCCTATAGTCTTCACCTTAACTTGGTTAAATCTGCAAAGACCCTATTTCCAAATCAGGTCACATTCCCAGGTACTGAGGGTTAAGATTTCAATGTATCTCTTTTGTTGGGGTTGAAGGGATACAATTCAGCCCGCAACAGGCACCACACTGGAGGTTACCCCTCCTAAAGTGTCTCCGCACCATGCTAGTCGCACGAGAAGCTCTATAGCGAAAAGGTTCCTGTGGTCTCACAAATGAGGAAAAGCCACACCCTGCATGTAGATTTCCCTGCGGTGATCCTTAGGGAAATTCACACACCTCACATGACCCTAAGACCACTGAGGCCTAGTCTCGCATTGTGACCCTGCAATTTCTTGAATGTGTGACCTTGGGCAATTTATTTTCCTGTCTGGCCTTCAGTGTGCTCATCGGTAAAATGGGAGTGAAAATTCCTAGTTGGTTACTTACGGTAGGTTGACCAGTATCACAAACAGACCCCAAAAAGTATAATGACTTGGAAATAATAGGATATGTTTCTTTCTTGCTCAGGACTGAGCAAGGAACATGCTGGCCGGGTAGTCTTTCTCCACACAGGCATTCTGGAACCATTTTACATCTGTGGCTTCCAAGGGCATCTGGGGGTGGTCCCCGTCCCTCCCCCTCCCACCCTTGGGGGCAAGGTAGAGGGCTTGGAGAGTGCTTCTGGGGAGCTTTTCACGGGGCCGGGCTCTGTATGGAGCAGCTCACTTCTGTTCCTGTGCCACTGGTCAGAACCCAGTGCTGTGACCGCCACTAACTGTAGAGGGGGGTGGAGGACGGGGTTCCTGGAGGAGCGGGTTATTTCCCAGCAGGACCTCAGCCCTGAAGAAACGGCAGGAGGAACTTCTGGCTGAAAATGAGCCATCTCTGACACCCTTACCTCGCAGGTGCATTCTGAGGATTAAGCGCCGCTTTTGACATATGCAAAGTCCTTAGCATCACACACAACTAAACAAAAGGCAACAGTTTAAAAATGAAAAGGAGACGAAGAGGAAGCCCCTTGAGAGATGGAATAAGAGACCAGCCCTGGGGCGCAACAGAAGTGTGGGACCCTCCTCGCTGCTCTTCCCAAGGCATCCCAGGGGCTGCTGGCCGGTGTGTGGCAGGGAAAGGGGAGCAGAGGCCCTCGGGGTGTCATTCAGCCCCGAGCAGCTCCCCCCTCCTCCCCCCCCCCCCCGTTTCCTTTCCCACCAGATGGAGAAGCGTGTGCTCCAGAGTCTTGACAGCCTCAAGGCTTCCTGGCGGTGGCCCCCAGGACTGCAAACCCCACCTTCCTGTCTTTGCGGAGCCAGCTGAGGGGTGGGCAGCACGCCAGGCCCCCGCGGCAGCCCCTGGAGCACACGCCAGTTGCAGACTCTCAGGATGCTGGAGGGAGGGAACGGGCTCTCACCAGATCACCGCAGCCACGGCCTCACTTGCAAAGGACTCCAGACACCCACAGCCCGTGCTTCGTCCCCCTCCCGGCTTCCCCCGCTACCTGGCCACACAGCACAGATGAGAAGTGACCATCTCCAGACCTCCCGCCCTCCGGACTCCATTGGTCCTCAAGGTGCCTCAAAGAATGCACCTTTTCATTTTAAGTCCGCATTGATTATTAAGCTGTACCTCACATCACGTCCCCAACCCCTCAACATGAACGCGGTTCCAACAGATGTCCCCCACAGCCCCTCCCCACCTTTCTCGAATGTAAATAAGCTTCTCAAGCTGCCATCCGTATATACACACAACTCTGCTTTCGGCTCTTCCCGCTCTGCTTTGTATACACTTTCCCATGGATCTGGGTCATCGTGGTGTTGAGTATCTCACAGGGCTGCAAAAAAATATGGACGACGTATTTTGCTTGAGACTCTTAATACCCAGAACATCTGGGTGATGATGCTCAGACAACTGGACAGATTCTTGCTGATGCTGCAAGTCTCCAAGTGCAAGTTCCCTTGCAGGCAGAAAATGCTGGATTTTGCATCTGTTCGCAAGAACATGGGTTTGCTCAAGCCCAGTGGACCATGGGGTGTGACAGTGATTTCTTCCTTGCAAGTGGCATGACCTCCAGGAGTTGCCGTTGGCCGCCGTCGCGAGTACCGTCCAAATTTATTGGCTTTGATGCCCGCCCGGTTCCCTGTGTAAATTAAAATGTGACATTATTACACCCTCCAACAGCCCACTGGTGACCTTTAGCACACTCCCCCCTCCGCAGCCATTATTCAGCATAATTTGACTGGTTGGAGGCAAGTTGGGGGAGTGGGGAGGGCTGGGAGGGGGCAGGGACAGGCAGAGTCCAAATTAGAAACAGATTTAAAGAGCATTTGCAGGGAATTAGGCAGTGGGCCAGGAGTGCTTGCTGGCAGCATGTGTAACCCCTCTTTAGGGACTGTCAGCTCCTCCTAGGTTTCCACAGCGGATGTGTCCCGGCCAGAGCGCAGCTGGGTTTCAGTTGTCAAATCCACAGCCAAGACATCTGAGAAGGAGGCGGAGTGCCTGTGTGCACACGTGTGTACGCGCCCAGGCCACACTCACACACACACACACTCACGGCCCCGAGGACACTCCCAGCACAGTCCCACACACGCACACCTACAAAGGTTCACGCTGAGTTGTCCACGCACTCCCGACACGACAGACAGATGCAGGTGCACGCGAAGAGAATCAGGACAGACACACACACTGACGTGTGTGCTCACAGACTTGGGCTGTGCCCCTGCCAACACCTCCTAAGAGGAGTCCCAGAGCAGGTTTATCAATCCACGCCCCCTTGCCCCTCCCCAGAATGTCTGTGTGACGTTGGCTTAGCCCTTCAACCTCGCTGAGCTTCTGTATCTTCGACTATAAAGTGAAAGAAGGCAGCAGTGACCGTTGGAGTGAGATCATAAAGGTGAACACCCAGGTAAACCATGCAGTGGCATTCAGGTGTGAAACATGGTGAGGACAGGGGTGGTGGTGACAGTGATGAAAAGAACAAGCCCTTGGTCCACATCCTCTCTAGAGGGAGCATAAAGAGCTCACTGACTTGATGCTTACATTGTTATAAAAGAGTGAGAAGAGCTTTGCATCATGTGGGGAAAGGGGCAGAGAAAGACCAAGAGCCCCTGCGGCTGGAGGAGGGCAGGATGCACCATGCCCCGTGCCCGGCATGCACCTCTCTGTGGCTCTCCGCTGCCTGGGAGGCCTGGCCATGGGCTTGTGCATCAGGATTCTCTGCTCTCCTATCTCCCTCCCTCCGTGTGCCTGCTGTTCCCACCAAGGTCCTTCACATCAGCTCGTCCTGCATCCACACCCTTGGTGAGGAAGATCTTCCCTTCTCTCCTCTCCTTCCTTACCCTTGGGGTTCTCCTCTCCAGCCACCCTCATTCCCAGAGCCCCACCCACCTTGAGTCCCTCCAGGTTCTGATCAACCTCACCTGCCTGTTCCTAGAAACCTACTATGTACCAACAGGTCTTCGTTCTGGGTGCTGCGGGGCTGGGAGGGGGTGGTAAGACATGAATTAGATGTCACCCCTGCCCCACAGGGTTCACAGCCCAGCACAGAACACAATAGAGACCCAGTCAGCAAATGTCAGAAGAGGGCACAGCACTAGATAGACCCTGGGAGATCAAAAAACACCAAAGCACACCCTACTGTGCGGGACAGGACACTCTACACCAAGTGACCCAAAGTAGGGCAAGAACCAGAATGGGTGACGCCAGTTCCTGAAAACAAACTTCCATATGGAGCTGGTCCCAAGACTCATAGCCCCACTGCACATCAGATTTCCCCTGTGCCAAAATCCAGACGGATTGGGCGGTGGTGATAGGGGAGGGACTAGAGACATAAGGGTGGCAAGGTGTTAGGCACAGCAGCAGGCTTTTCTAGACCTTCATTTAGTCAATAAATATTTAAGGAGCACCTCCTACGTGTGAAGTGCTGGGGACGCAATGATAAGTAAGACACAGACCCTGATTCGAGGAGCTCAGTGTCCAGAAAGAGAACACTTAGTGCACAAACAAGCAATGCCAGTGCAGGGGGATATGTGGTCTAGAGGAACGGGCTGGGCGTGTGGGGCTCTGGGGCACGGAGGAGCCATCTCATTCAGACAGGACGACGAGAGAAGGCTCCCAGAGGGGTGGGCACACAGGGGGCCAGAAGGAGTTCGGATGGGTGCCAGGTGAAGAGGGAGCTGGAGCGAGCGCAGAGTGAGACCAGAGAGATCATCGTGGAAGGTCTAAGCGGCTCACTCACTCTCTCATTCACTGATTCAACAAGTATTATCAGCAGCCAGGTGTCAGGCCCTATGCTGGGTGCCGAGACTGTGATAGGGAGCTAGACTGGCACAGGAGGGCTGAGCTGAGGTTGTAGCAGTGTGGTCGGAGAGGAATCTATAGCTTTGAGAAACTGACCATCAGCTTTACTTGGATGGTGGTGGAGAGGGAGGAGGAATGAGTTAAGGTGATTCTCAGGTTCCTAGCTCGGTGCTGAGTGGGAGATGCCCTTCTGTGCAGGGGGAAAGGGACACACACAGGGAAGCAGCTGAGGAACTGGGGAAATGATGCGTCTGCACTGGTCTTGCCCGTTTGCAGGGCCAATGAGACAGTGGCAATACTCAGCACCTAACTCGGGCTGGTCGCCACCCAGACGGGAGTAAAGCCCCAGCTGAACATACGGGGAGCATCGGAGAAGGTGGCAAGAGATTAGCCAGTTGTCTGGGGCCCAGCTCAGAAGGGTAGGGTTTCAGACGGTGTTCTAGTCCCAGAGTTGAACTAGAGTGCTAAAGGCAAAACGTCAGTTCATTCCAGGTCTTCAGCTATTGGGATTGTGCTACCAAAACAAGCGCCAGCCCCCTCCGGTCGAGGAGCTCTCTGGATGCAGTCAGCATGGCTTAGGAAGCTGGGGAAGGAGCCGGCACCCACACGGTACAGTCTTTCATGTGTTAGGTCTGTTCCCCACAGCACTCAGCACAGAGCTGGGCAGATAGTAAGTGCTCAATAAATACTCTGCTAGGAGCAAGTAGACACGTAGCAGAAAGCAGGAGTCTCACAGTGACGAATGCAGCACTGACCTCAACTGGGCCCCTCCCTGCGGGGTCTTTTGGTCACATTAGGAGAAAGCCCCATTTGCTTCTCATCCTCCATAAAGATGGCAGCTTTTAGTGCCTACCTCTACCCTTCTGGAGCAGAGGTCAGAGACTTGAAGCTGACACCCTTTGAAACCTCAGACGTTAGCCCTGCAATCGGATTCCCTAAAATACTGCCACTTTGATGAAGTCCAGGCTGGCTTGCTTAAAATAAATACCCAGACATCACAAATCAAACTGAGATTTAGGACCTGGAATAAAGGAGAAGAAACAGCCAACCCAAGACATCAGAAGAGCGTTTCAGTGCGAACGCTCACCTCCCTTGGACCAGGCCTCGTTTGAGTAGGTCAGTTTCAAACGTTTGCACCGAAGGATGACTGTTTAATCAGCAGAAAGGACAACGTGGAAACCTGGAGTGACAGGATCCTAATTTTTTTTTTTTTTTTCCTACTAAAAAGCTAAAAAGCAGCTGGGCGTTCACGGTTTGGGAGGCACCTCACCCAACTGCAATTGCCAGACAGAGGTACGGATCATCAGTGCCAGCAGGGCCCTGTTCAAAAGCATCCCCTCCTCCATGGCGGTGACCTCTCCGAAGCTTCCAGCTAGCTGCTCCTGCAATTCACTAGTGTCCTGGGCACAGGGCCAGTGCGTTTCCTTTAATCCCAGCGCCACCCTTAGTGACATGGCTCAGTGGACCCCTAGGGCTGCAGAAGAGGCAGCTGAGAGGGAGGGCCTCGGAGCCAAGATCTCCAGCTCCGTGGGCAAAGCTGAGTCCGACTCCACCTCTGAAGTTGTCCCTCATCTGTGCTGTGGATGCGAACTGTGAGCGAACTCCACCCCATCTGCCTAATTTCTCTTTTGAAACATTTTATTTATTTTTAATTGTTTCAGTGTTTATTTGTTTTTGAGAGAGAGAGCGCGCACGAGTTGGGGAGCGGGGCAGAGAGGGAGACACAGAATCCGAACCATCAGCACAGAGCCCGACGCGGGGCCCGAACCCACGAACTGTGAGATCATGACCTGAGCTGAAGTCGGACGCTTAAGCGACTGAGCCACCCAGGCGCCCCATCTGTATTTCTCCTCAAATAGAAAAATATCTGGTTTCTTGTCACGCCTGTCACTCTCTGAGGAGCAGACTTCTCTAGAGTAAATTATATGTATGCTGTGTAAACAAAAAAGGTATTAGAGAAATGCCAATATACAGAGGCAGGGGTTCAATCAAATAAATATACCATACTTCTGGTTCCCAGATAGTGAAACTTTGGCTCAAATTTATTCTAAGATAAAACCTGATCCTGTAAAATATACTCTAATGAATACATCACACAGAGTATTTGTTTTTCAAAATGAGGAAAAATAGATTCTCTTATCAAATACTTGGGGTTTGCAATAGATTTGTATTAAAATAGGAAACTTAATATTTTTTCAGTTCCTGAACAGTAAAAGCAGTGGGAAAAGCATGGGAAAAAAACGAATCACAAAACATCTCTCTTCCCAGATGCCGGGTCAGGAATACCTCCCCTGGAACCTGAGATGATGAAGTTGTCACAGAGATATAAAATATGAGAAAAATATAAACAACGACGAAATAGACCAAATGTGGCCTCTCCTAAAATGAAGTGAGCAGTTGGGCCTGTGCTGCATGCCCGAAGGGTGTGTGGTCCCTGCCTGGCCGAGAGTAGAAGCAGCCGCCACCAGCCGGTGGCCGCCACCGGGATGGGAGTGGGACCGGTGGACTTCCTGCCTTTTGGTCGGACAGGCTGCCTTCCTGAATTACTAGGTCTAGGAAGCGGTGTTGACAGGGGTGGGGGGAGACGGGGGGGAGAAGTCACACGTGTCACCTGAAACCCCCTCCCGGCCTTCCTCCTAGCTGTTTCCGCGCTTCCCCTCCTACAGACCAGTTACCTAATTTGCACCACACGGAGATGGTATCTGGGACCTCTAACGGCTCTGAAATGCCACAGTTCTATAACTCAGATACAAAACCAGTGGTATGTCATCGGAAAAAGCTCAGCCCCGACTCCCAGGTTGCTCGATGTCCTGGGTAATACGCCAAGTGTCGTGGTCAAGG